AGAAAATTTCTCTAACATCCTGAAAAGTGAAAAGATAAACATTCAAGAATCTCAACAAACCCCAGGAAGGATAGACCCCAAAAGAAAATCACCAAGACAGATCATAGTCAAGCTCTCCAAAATCAAAGATAAGGAGACACTTCATATGCATGTGAAAGTTAGACAGTAAATAAAGAAGATCGTAGAAGAATTGACATATTTGAGTTATGGTGTTGGAAGAGAATATTAAAAGTAGCATGGACTGCCAAAAAAAAAAAAAAACAGATCTGTGTAGGAAAAAGAAAAGCAAGAGTGCTCCAGACATATTATCAGGAGGGATCAGACCATTGAGAAGGATATCATGTTTGGTAAGGTAGAGGGTTGGAGAAGAGGAAGATCCCAAATGAGATGCACTGGCACAGTAGCAGAAGCAATGGACTCATGTGTATCAAAGACTGTGAGATTGGCTCAGACAGGCAGTGTTTTGTTCTGTTGTGCATAGGGTTGCTATGAGTCAGTTCTGACTCAATGGAACCTAACAACAACAAAATGAAGAGCTGTACTTTAACAAATTTGAAAAAGAGAAGATGGATACGTTTTTTAGAAAAACACGACCTACCTAAACTAAAACAGAGTGAAGTAGAAATCTTGAACAGAAGAAATTGATGAGGTCATCAAAGAACTCCCAACCAAAGAATATCTAGTTACCAGATGCCTTCACTGGTGAATTTTACAAAACATTCAGAGAAGAGCTGTCACCAATTCTACTCAAAATATTCCAGAGTAAATAAAAGGATGGAAAACTTCCTAATAAATTTTATAAAGTAGGCACAACCCTCATACCAAAGCCAGGAAAGGACACCACTAAAAAAGAAAATATCTCTCATGAACACAGATGTGAAAACTTACAACAGGGGACTTCCGATGGCACTTCCCTGGCCAGCAGGACAGTTGCTTGGCGGTTGCATAGCCTCCTTTTTGTTTTTGGAAGACACTTTGTCTCCCTATATTACACAAGAAAAGTCAGCAACCACAGCCAAAAAGTCAAGCTGTAATCACACCTTATAAAATACCAAAACAAAGGCAAGAACCAATACCAGCAGACATACACCAGGGAAACAAACAATACCTGTGAAAGTCACCCCGAGTTAAGCAATAAGAAGAGGGAAAAGAGAAGATCACACCCTGATCACCTCTCCCTGGAAACAATCATTAAGCATAAAAAAGTACCAAAATACATATTCACTTAAGTGTTAGGCTCAAAGATAAACAGTAAACATGCC